GGGAGGCACAGTGACCATATGCCTCCCTTAAATCATAACCTCACCTTATACCCAAGCATTACATTATGTTACCCATGTACTTCCTATTGTGTATGTTTGTATATGCCATTATCCAGAAATCTTATGCATAATCTTAACCAAATTCCAACCCTTATTCAACTTGAACAAAAAAAATAAATAAATAAATAAAGCTGCAACTTTGGCTTCTCAGCCCAATTTCTAAAAATTTTAATTGGTTTATTGAATTTGGCTTATAGTGACTTAACTTTTTTTTTTTTCTTCAAACCGGCACTTTGTTCCTAAATCTAGGCTTGAAGATGGGGGGGGTGGGGGGGGGGGGGGTGTTATTACTAAATAGGACAACAACAGAATGTTCGGAGATGTTTAACTAATATCCCCATTTTGGATCTGATTAATCTGCATTGCATGACTGGCTTTAACAAGGTTTTAACTAATCATGACTTTTCTGAATGTAAAGATTTGTACTTCAAAGTTGAGATGGAGCATACATGTACATACACAAATTCAATTATATTCCATCCATCCATCCATCCATCCATTATCTTTACCCGCTTATTCCATTTTTGGGTCACGGGGGTCGCTGGTGCCCATGTCCAGCAATCACTGTGCGAAGGGCGGGGTACACCCTGGACGGGTCGCAAGTCCATCACAGGGACACATAGAGACAAACGAGACAAAGACAAACGAGACAAACAACCATTCACTCTCTCACTCACACCTACAGTAGGGACAATTTAAAGTTACCAATCAGCCTAACATGCATGTTTTTGGTCTGTGGGAGGAAACTGGAGTACTTGGAGAAAACCCACGCATGCACGGAGAGAACATGCAAACTCCACCCAGAAAGGCCCCTGGACCGGGGTTTAAACCAAGGACCTGCTCGCTGAGAGGCAGCAGCTCTACCAGTTGTGCCACCGTGCTGCCCAAATTCAATTACATTTTAATTCAAAATACTTTATTAATCCCAAAGGGAAATTAAATGTTGTTGTAACTCATCCATGTTTCAAGATATGTTATTGATGCTGATGGCTATAGGCAGGAAAGATCTCTTGTAAAGGTCCGTCCCACAGCAAATCCAAAGAAACTGGTCACAGATGCCGTCCGATCCATCCACCCAGACTTGACTGGCCTCTTGGTTCTCCCGGGCTGTAGGACTGCCAAAATGCTGGGCAGAACTCCTCCCAGAGTTACGGCCACTCCTCCCAGAAGCCTGCTGAGGTTCTCGTTACTGCGGACAGTCGGCTGCAGGTGTCGGGGGACAATCCTGTCCTTCTACTGTCATGAGCCATGTTTCCTGCTAGTTCCAGGATCTCAGTGGTCAGGCACTCGAGCACAGCCATAAAGGAGACAGGAATGCAGCTACAGCACATCCTTTTCAACTCATATGAGGTTTGGGGCTGTAACTAAGGAATTATCTGAGCTTTTGAGATGTTATTCAGCTGCTCCCAGTTGTAAAATAAAACACCTCATTGATAGCGTTATGCAATTTAACAACTGTCCAAAACTAAAAAAGTTTCAGTAAAAATCCTTCCAGCTGCACATCATCCGATACCAGAGGAAATAATCATCCAAAAAAGGGTGATTTACATTCAGAAAAAGAGGAATTAAAGTTTCCAAAAGCAAAATCTCAGAATGAAAGTAACAGAGCTGCTCCAACATGCAGCCACCTCGAGCAGCACAATTCTAGCACTTTAAAAGCTCTAGTTTGGTATATTTTATATTATTTAAAATGGGTTTTATCTCTTTATTTAATTTGTAAAATAATATTAGTAATAATAACTTTAAGGTTGTAAACTAATAACATAAAAATACTACCGAAGTTAGTGAATCATGTTGAAATGTGGGGTAAGTGATTTATTTGCAACCAGTTTTAGGGGATATAGAGAGGCACTTGACACCATTTCTCCCCTTTACAAGATGTGTATTTTTATTTATTTATTTATTTTGTTGGGGGGGGGGGGTGACTGGGGTTTATGTTTCATCAACATTTATTTTAAGTAAGAGGGAGTTAGGCAAAGGCAGTCAAATTTAAGAGGATTTTTTAATCCCTTGAGTAGGAGAAAAATGAAGCAGTCAGGCACTATACTTTAAATAAACGTGTTTGTTTATGGATTTATAGCACTAGCCCCACCATCACTCCTACATCTTGTGTCTCCATATTGTCCAATGTAAAACACACATAGATGCATTCATTCACATGTACAGATTTTTTTATTCATGCCACCTACCTTCGTCCTCATCATTGGCACTGACTGTAAGAATAGCAAAGCCCACGTCAGCGTCCTCGTCCACATCAACTTCATAGGATGCCTGTCCAAACATGGGCTTGTTATCGTTCACATCGCTGATAAAAACACGAACATATGCTGTGTCTGAAAAAACAAAAAAACAAAAAGCAAATGCAATTAAAAAACAGAGGTTGTTCTTATTCTGTCAAGTGGAACATGAGCATCTGTTTTCTTTTTTTTTCCTCCGTGCATGGCAACAATTTTGTCACTGTAGCAGTGTGCATCAATACTAGTGTAAACAGAAAAGCTGGAATTCTTTGAGAAGGCAGAAATTATTGAACTATTATATGTATCCTTTTTTTATTGTTTCAACTATTTTAGACTAATTTACCACAAAACTGATCTCCACATAACACCCCCACCCCCAAACCCCTGCAGGCTGGAGCTCAAAGCACCCATAGTGTACGAGTGTTAGGCAATATACACTCTTCCTTTGATATCTATATCAAAAAGTGCATAATTTGCAATACTGCTTCGAGATGAGATTAATTATTTAAGGCAGGGTGGAAGAGTTGGTATACAGTTCATGGCACAGATAGGAAACAAACGCAGCCCTTGAAGCTAAAACAAAACAAGCTGCAGATGTCAGAGCTTTGCACATGTTCAGAAAAAATGGGAAAAGAATGCATGTAGGAAGTGGATGAGTGGATTTGGAAGCCATCCACAGCTAATCTAGGTTCTAAAACATTCACCCAACTCCATCCCACAGTCTTGAACTTTTGCAGGAACTCGTGAAAAAAAAAGTCCTATTAATATTGTGATTTTAAACATGACAATTCTGCTGTCTCGTTTGTGTATGTATACTTAGAATTGTAAAGCAAAACATGAAAAATGTTCAAGAGTATAATCTTCAGTTTTTTCTATCAAGTATCACATGCTATTCAACCTTTTTCTCTGAACAAATTAGAGAATACTTTAGTCAGCTGTGATTTGAACAAGGTGGCAGAAATCCAAAAAAGTTCAATCTGGTCCTCTGGACATTCAAAAAAACAAAAAACAAAACAAAGCAAAAAAATATAGAAACGTTTCGTCTCTCATCCGAGAAACTTCCTCAGTCTGAGGTGCTGTTTTCAGCTCAGTCTCTTAAATAGCACCTTCTCAGAGTGGATCAACCAGTTTGCTGCTGACAACCAAAACCAGCTGCTCACATGGTCAAGAAGGACCATCAGCCTAACAATGGATCATTAGCACACTGATGGCTGTTTACTGTTCACAGAGGGCTGAGTGATGCTAGCAATCACAGCATTGTAAGAGGGGGACAATTGAACACAGAGGCCTCCACCCCTGTTTAATTATGGACAATTTCTTTTCACAAAGATGGCCTCCTTTACTTCTCTCTCAAACCATCGTTCCTCTCTGTCCAGGATGTGAACATCTTCATCCCTGAAGGAGTGACCGCTGGCCTGGAGATGAGTGTAGACCGCAGAGTCCTGGCCTGATGATGTTGATCTTCTGTGCTGGGCCATCCTTTTGGTCAGTGGCTGTTTAGTTTCCCCGATGTAAGACTGATCACAGCCCTCCTGACACTGAACAGCATACACAACATTACTCTGTTTGTGCCGGGGGACTGGATCTTTGGGATGAACCAGTCTTTGCCATAATGTATTTTGGGGTTTAAAAGCCACTGGGACGTTATGTTTGGAAAATAAACGTCTAAGTTTCTCTGATACTCCCTCAACATATGGAATGACCACTGTTCTGGGTCTGGGTTCCTCTTTGTCACCTGTTGGCTGACTGGAGTCCTGTTTGGGTTTCTTCTCTTCTTTCAGAAAGGCCCAGGTAGGATATCCACATTGCTCTAGAGCCTGTCTTGTGTGGGATTTCTCCTTCTGTCTGGCTCCTGAGTTAGTGGGGACGCTGTCTGCTCTGTGATACAGAGTCCTGATGACTCCTAACTTGTGCTCCAAAGGGTGATGGGAGTCAAACTGCAAATACTGGTCTGTGTGGGTGGGTTTGCGGTACACCTCGGTTTGCAAATGTCCTCTATCAGAGACTGAGACCTCACAGTCCAAGAAAGCCAACCTGCCATTTTTTTCATCTTCTCGTGTGAACTTGATGTATTTATCCACAGAGTTTATGTGGTCAGTAAAATGTTGGACTTCCTTAGATTTAATTTTAGCCCAGGTGTCGTCAACATACCTGAACCAATGACTTGGTGGTGTCCCTGAAAAGGATGTCTGACCACAAAATTTGACATGCCGCCATGAAAAATGAAACGCTAATAGCTCCTACACAAAAACTGAGATGTCAAACCTTCAGTGATTGATCCACATCCGGTCATCTGCAAGACTGAATAGTCAAATCATGACATCACTTAAGCCACACCCCCTGACAACAGGAAGTATACAGTTTTACGTTGAACAATCCTTATCTGACCCGTTACCAGATCAGCATGATAGTGTGTCCAGTGACCTAAGACATGTTGGTGTAACTTGATTTCTGACACTGACAGTTTTGGGTGGAGAATGTGGGCGGCGCGGCATGGTGAAGTAAGACGTAACGCCGTCGCCACACGTTTGGCTCTAAATTCCACAGTTTTGAACTGAGGTGCACCAAAATCAGTATGATTGATCATTATCCACCCTGAGCACTTCTACACAGACTGGTATTGTTGTTTAGCTTTTGACTCAAGTGCGCCCCCTACATTATTCCAACAGTTAAAAGCTGTTACATATTGCATGATATTTCACAGAGATATATGTGCGTGATCAGTGAGCACTTAGACACACTGATATCGTTCTTTAACATTGGACTCAAGTGCACCCCCTACATTATTCCAACTAGGGCTGCAACTAACGATAATTTCAATAATTGATTCATCGGCCAATTATTATTCGATTAATCGACGAATCGGGGAAAAAAAAACATTTTAATTTCTACCCTTTTATTCCAAAATTTAACATTTGTCTGACATAGCAATTCGCACAAAAAACAGGTTGCTATTTGACCATTCTGTTAGTAAAATATTGAATAATAAAAATAAAAGTTAGTCAAATAGCTTTAAAAAATAAATGTACACAAAAATATATACAAATGTATGCTTTATACAAAGTACCTGCACAATATGTAGCAACTTTGTAAAATGTGTCCTTGAGGGAAGAGTGTAACATGGATTAAAAGTGTGGATTATTGTAGTGAAGCCTTCGTCTTCAACCATTGACTCATGTCAGTGACGATCATTTAAGGATGTTTTCAGTGAAGACAGCTGCTTGCTGTGGTGTCCATGATGTCTGTCCCATCATGAAGGCTGTCAATGTTTGTTGTTTTTTTCTGGAATGAGAGAGTTTATGTATTATATCATAATTTAGAGCAATTCAAGACATGCCTTGTTTCACTTACAGTGTTAGGTTCAGGCAAAAGTGGCTAAAAGAGCAATTAAACACACACACACACACACACACACATACGTATATAAAATACTTAATTACACACATTTCAGTAAATGTAATAAATTACTTTAATTCCTGTTTAAATGCATTTCATCCTGCCATACCTGCAGTGTCTTCAGACTGTGCCAGCAAATTAAAAGTTGAAGCTTAATCATTAAATTATTATCTTTGTGTTAGATTTATTTATAAATCACATTTAAACACTGCTTGTACCAATTAAAATAAATATCATTTGTCTTTAATCAACAAACAAGCAGCAGCAGCTTCAGCTCCAAAGAGACTGACGTTACGTTTTCTCACTTGGAAACAGAACTAATGTAGGATATTGTAGGGACTCACCTGCCAACACATGACGAGTTGGGAGTGAGACATGTTGTATCTGCTGCAGCTCCTTCATCCTCCTTGTAACTCCGACATGTTTACGTTTCATCTCCGTGGTTCTCCCGTGTCGTGTCGTCACTTTTTCAAAGCTGCATGTTGCGCAGTTTTTATCTTTGTGAAGTGTTCCCAAACTTTGGAGGACTTGGGTCGAACAGTTTTCGCTACGTCGGTCATTTGTAAAATGTATTTAATTTCCTTTGAAAACACTGCATCTGCTCTGCTTCCGCCTTCCCCCTTGCTCTGTTCAACTTGCGCTACATTTTTTATTTCTTTCAAACTTTATTCAGTCAGCCAACATGAAAAAACGGCTCTGCAGCGCAGTGAAAGACGCATAATAGCGCAACACAATGAATCGATAATGAAATTCATTGCCAACACTTTTAATCATCGATTTTTATCGATTTTATCAATTCGTTGTTGCAGCCCTAATTCCAACAGTTATATCTCAGTGATACATCATCCAATCTGAACCTGAGTTTTTGTGCTTCATCAGTGAGCACTTGTAGACACATTGGTATTGTTGATTCTTGGCATCACTTAAGCCCCACCTACTCAGAGAAAAAAAACTGTTGATTATTGGATGACACTTCCAGCTTCCCACTGTGTAAGATTAGACTGAAACTTTGTTCACTAACTGTTGATTACCACACATGACATGTTGAAAAGCATAAAGGAAGTGCTTGTCAAACATTCGCAAGAAAACAAGGAGTCACCATAACTCCTGTCTGGAAGGTCAGATTTTGCCTATACTTGTAAGACCTGCAGCTGGACAAGTAATGACATGGACGGAAGGCAATGTCGAAGATTCGGGAAATGTGCCTCATGGTGAACGCGTGCAGGATTGACACAAGAGCGTTTCCGATGGTGACTAGGTGGACTAGCTGGAGCTCCCGCATTCACCGTAAGGCCGAAGTGGCGCTTTGCTGCCAGGACCTCCAATGCTGCTTACAGCTTTAATCTTCTATTTGTTTTCACCAAATGTTTAAGTGATCGCCGATCATAATCATTCAGGATTTTTTTTCTGGCCACATTTCTTCCTCAAAGACGATGGGTCCCCACTATCCTTTCAGTTTTTAATAATGCGTTGGACAGTTCTTAACCCAATTTCAGTAGTTTCTGCAATCTCCTTAGATGTTTTCTCTACTTGATGCATGCCAATGATTTAACCTTTCTCAAACAGACTGACATATTTTCCATGACCACGTGATGTGTCTTTCAACATGGTTGTTTAAGAAATGAGAAGCAACTCATTGTACCAGTTGGGGTTAAATAACTTGTTGCCAGCTGAAAAGATAATCACCCATGCAGTAATTA